TGTTTTTTTAAAATAATTATTGCTAATTTTTTGTCTAAGCATAATTTTTGCTGTTAATACTGTTGGGGCTGCACTTTTTATACTTTTTCAATCAATTTTGGTGGGGATATATTTTTTTTTGCACAATATGTACTTTGATAGGGTTGTATTGTTTTTGTATTTTTTTTCTTTTGAATCACATTTTGTGGATATAATGCCTTTGTTTTGAATCCATTGCCCTGTGGCCCCCATGTATCTTTTTTCGTCTGTGTTAATGTTATTATGTACGATGTATTTGTATATTAAATTATTGGTTAATAATTGATTGTCAAGTAGGCAATTCTCTTTATTTCTGAAGTAACATTTAATATGTTATTTCACTATATGTTATTGCTATTGTTGTTGTAATTGTAAATGGTTTTGTTGATTATTGTCGCTAGTTATTATTTTCTCCATGCAGCTATAACTAATTTTGGTTGTATTTTTGTTGATATTTTTGTTTATAATTTGCTGTTTTAGGGAAGTGTTTCTCAATTATTTTGAAGTGTATTTTCCATATTTTTGTTTTTAATTTTACTATTTTAGTGTGGGATGGGTGAACCGAATTATTAGGTTGGCGCAAAAATAATGACGTAATAATGTCGTTTTTGGACGTATTTTTTAACGTAAAAAAACACATTATTACGTCATTATTTTTGCACCAACCTAATACATTTCTTTTTCTGTTGTTTTTGTTTGAATTATTATTAATTTGTTTGAATATTCGCTGTTTGATTAGGCTGATACATGAGTGTTTTCTTTTATTTTCATTGAATATTTTTTTTAGTAACATTTTTATTTAGTGTTTATGTATATGTCTATGATTTCGTATATTTGAACCATTATAGCTACCCATTGTTACGTCAAAGTTGTTGTTGTTATTATTATTATTTTTTTTTTTTTAGCCTATTTAGTCCATAGCTTTTTTACTGTCGTATAATATTGATTTTCGGCAGTATTTAATTATATTTATGCCATCATTTGGGGATATTGAAGTATTGTTTTGCTAATTTTAATGCGTTTTTAGTGTATGTTCATTAATAGATGGATAGAAATCATTTATGCGTAAGTTTTCTTTGTTACTAATATTGTTGAAGCAATTGATTGTTACTTTTGTATTTTCCATTGATTTATGTTTAATATTCTTCTTAGTGTTCAGCATATTTTTCTAAAATATTTTTGCTTATTTTCCCAATATTTCTTTTTGTGGGGTTTAGAGATCTGCATGTTAGTTTGATCGTGAAGTTGTCCTTATGGTCATTAATTTAATAAATGGTTCTATTTATACTAATTGCTTTTTTCTATTGTCTAATTTTAGTTTAGTGGCTATGTCTTTAGCTTCTTTGTTCATATCACTTTCTGTTTCGTCATTAGTAGTTCTGTAAAATGTAGTGACTAATTTATTGTAATTGTTGGTTTACATTTTATAGATTATGCTAGATTTATCTGCTTTTATAAATAATTTTTAGGCTGTGTATCATTTGATCTTTTTCAAGTCTTTATTGGTAATTATTGTTGAATCTTCTTATTTCATTATTATTCATTATGTTTGTTAAGTCATTTTCAAATGGAATGAGGTCGTTTTCTTGTGGTGTGCATTTCATTGATGTAAATCCAAATGTGTTAATATTATTGGTTTTATTATGGTTGTCCCTATTGTCATTGTTTTTCTTGTTAAACTAGAATACTTTCCATAAAATGTTCTATTTCTTCTGTTAGTTTGACTTTGTAGCCATGTAGGTTTGATGTTGGTATATAACTTAATGAGATTAAGTTAAAATGTGTGGGTTCCCTATTGATCTAAGAGAAGTTTAAAAATAAAATATTGAACTGAATGCTGTGAAAAAGTGATCAAACAAAAACAAAATCTGTAAAAGTGCTCAACTGAAAAAGTTTTTTCAGGAGCTAAGACAATTGCGATGTTAAAAATAGTATAAAGCCAAAAATGCAGACAGTGAATGGGATACTTAGAAAAAATACACATAAGGCAAGCTGTATTTGCAATTAACTGCTCGATATTGTAGATCGAGCATTAATGGGATTAATGCGGGTAAAATTTGTCACTTAGCTGATTGATCCCGACTCCAGAGTTTCCTAGACGGACCTGTCCGTCCACTCTTTAGAATGCATCAGCAATTTACTGCTTATATATTTTTTTTAGATTTTTGTCTTTTTTTATGCACATTTAAAGCTGGTATAAGCTTTCTTCTGTATTTTATGTGTTTGTGATCTTTTCCGCGCTCTCTCGCGTGCATCTATTTGCACGAATGTGCATCGTGATCATTTTGCTCTCTCTCTCTCTCTCTCTCTCTCTCTCCTCCCTCTGTATATATATATATATATATATATATATATAAGAAAAACAGACCACTTTAAGGTACCATTATAATAATTTATTTCTGGGAGTCCTTTTAACGGACGCCCGATCATCAGATAGCACTTCCAAAAATGAAATGAAAGTAAAAATGAAATTAAAATTGATGTGTAGTGTAAAGTTTTTGTAATTTAACAGAGAGTGTAAAAAAGGGTGGTTAAAGAGACATGGTAGTGTATAGGGAGGATTAATTTCATATCTCTCAAGCATACTTTTTTTATTGGGGGAGGACGAGTGACCAGACCATGACCTATTTAGACAGTTAACTTAATGGAAGTGATATATTGAAATGGGAGGGAGTAGGGAGAAAAGAAAAGGAAAAGAAGAGGGAGAGGAGAGGAAAAAGAAAAGAAGCTGTAATTGGGTTTTAGCAATTTATGTAAAGAATAGATTTTAATGCTTGATAGAAATTTAGATGTCTAAAAAAAAATTAATTTGATGTTTGCTATCAATTTAAATATTTAATTTTTTATATATATATATATTGTATTGGGACAGCAGATCATTATTCAAACGTATGTTGTTAAATATAACAGGCAACCAGTGATGGTCATGTTTGATCATCAGCCGTTCTAAGCTTTTTATAGTGGCTTTAGTTTCGGAAGAAAATAAAGAAAAAACTTTCCAACATTTGGATATTTTTTTATTATGCTGTTCCTCGATCTAAGCTTTCGACCATTACCAGAGTGGTAATATAGACATTACAACAGAGTTGTTCACCATCAAAGATAAAATCCTTTTATGTTTATATATAGGTTTGCTATGCGATGATAACGGACGCGGAATAACAGACGCAGGTCGTAAATTCGGAATGCGATTCTATGACGTTGTACA